ATATCATTGGCCACTGATCTAATCAGCCATACGATAACGACAATTTTTCGTCAAATTTTTTGGTCACGTGATTTGGTGTGTAGACAGCAGCTCCTGCTGCTGTCGTTGTTGATATGCTATACTTTTCCAAGTCAAATCAAACCATCACCACCACCTTAGTCATATTGATTCGGGTGATCCCTACAGCACTTGAATTTATCACTTGTACTGGAATAAAGAGTAATTTGAACATACCCCAGCTGTTTGAGTCGTGTGATCCCTGATCCATCAAGAAAAAAAAGGCGCACTCTATACATCTTTGCATACCCTGATATTGTAACGCGATAGTCAACTTCCGGATTAGCTATCCAAATAAAAACTATGGATTCAAAACAAGCAGTGTTGGAAGCAATAAGCAGTTCTTTTACAAGGACGTTTTCATAATGCATAACACAATTAACGTGGATACAGAATAGTCAAAATGATCATTGTTTGTAGACAATCAGACAAAAGCAACTTATATACGAAGGAAAATAAAAGGGGGTAAAGAAAATTGGGAAATGTGTGAAAGGGAATATGTCAAATATACTCTAAGCTCGTAATAACATGCTGGGGAGGATCATTGGTATACAACTGTGCCATTCACTGGATAAGGACCGGTTCTCGTTGCATTTTATCCTTTTCAATAGTTTCGATTGCTTCCGACACTTTTCGGTATAGGTGGTCTCGGCCAACTAGTTTGAGGATGCCAGCCTTTTCAAATAGCTTCATGGGTCTATCCCTTAGCTTGACAAAATAGACAGCCACTTGACGAGCATGGTAGGCTTCTACAATCTCGAGCATGATTTGCACAGCACTATTATCAATGTTCATTAGGATACCATAACCCATCATTGTAACGTGGTTGGCTTACCTTGCATCCACATAAGGCATGCTGCCAACATCAAAGATGATATAAGAAGAATCGCCTAATCGTCTGGACTCTGAAGGATGGATGGACATGTCACCAAACAATTCGAGACGGCGTAAACGATCCTTGAGCTGTCCGGTATTCACAAAGAAAAGTGGTTCATCGATACGAATGATAAGCACATCAGCAAGGTGTTCAATCTCATTGGGATCCTCATGGATGGGCTTGAATTTGTTAGTTGTGCCCTTGACGCGTCCCTGGATGATGTGATGAGTTTTGGATGCATGATCATTTCACTCCTTTTTGTGTGCCTTACCATGATGGAGATGCGAGGATAGCTGGTTTCTTTGATGGTGAGCAACAGAGACAAGGTGACTGCAATAAGGGTGCCGAATTCCAAAGAGACGATCATGGTTGCAATAAACGTCAACGAAAGTAAAGCGAGGTCCTTCCATGCACCAATTTGGAAGATAAAGTGCAGATCTTCAGGAAGTTCAGCTAGCAACGATAAGACGGCGACAAAGATGATAGCCGAAAGCACAGCCTTGGGAAGATAATAAAAGCATGGAAGTAAAAAGAGAATGGCAAGTAAGGCAATGACACCTGCAATCAATCCAGCCATTTGTGTACGACCACCAGCACGATCATTGATTTTGCTCCGAGAAATCTGTAGAGGAGTGGTGTCAGTGACATGTCCATCAAGAGATCCACTTTATGCAACCTACACTTCCAAAAGCAGGAATACCCTGGAAAAGACCGCTAGCAATATTGGCTGCTCCAAGGGCTACTAGTTCTCGATTGGGGCTGACCGAGTAATTGTACTTGTTGGAATATGTCTTTGCAATAGCCACGGACTCAACAAAGCCAATCACCGCAATCATGGCAGAGGTGACCAATAAATCCTTCATGTGCTTGTTTTGTGGAAACGCAGGAATAGATGGGATCGGGATACCCTTTGCTTCAGTAGCACCCAAAATATCAAGACCTTGGTTTTCCCAATCAAAATAATCGGTCAACATGACTGATACAATGACCACAATCAGGGCTTCAGGGAAGAGTTGTAACCATCGCTTGTTGGGAGCCTTGGCTTTGATCACGCGCATGACAAGTAAGATGCTCACGGACACAATAGAGACACCTGATGTCAAAAGATGCGAATGTTGGATATTTTGCACCAAGAATACAATACGATCGATGCTAGAGGATGCTTCATTGATGCCCTATCACAAAGGAATCAATGATCCAGCCCACTTTTTTTATGCATCACAAGGTCCCTTCCCCCCCTTCTTTCTTACCCAATCAGTGCTCTTGTCCACAAGACCCAGTAAAATAACACTTTGTTGTACCATGACCACGAGTGCGACACCAGTAATAAATCCACGTAACAGGGCACGACTCATAAGGCTGTCGAGGAAACCAAGTCGAAAGATACCAAGCAACAGGGTGAATAGGCCCACAAACAAAGTCATGAGACTCGCCCAAGCAAGCGGGTCAATAGGATCGCCATTCGAATGCAAGTGTTGCTGCATTGCAATGGATGAGCCTACCAATAAGGCAAGAGGAGCTTCTGGACCCACAGACATTTGTCTAATCACATCCATCACCATCGTCAATATACCATTTTTTCCTCCTTATCATTGTGTGTGTGTGTGTTGATGTTTACCTTGACATACCAAAGACTGCATAAGTCATAGCAGGAAAGGCGATACCCATAAGACCATGGATGGCTTCGAGTTTGCATAATGCTGTTGCGTAGGATAAACCTTGAGGAATCAATAGGCAGGACAATGTCATGGCTGACATGAAATCACCCAAGAACAGGTTGAACGTATAGTGTGGGAGCCACTGAAGGATTGGCAGGTAATACTTTGATCGCCTCTTGAGCAAACCCCAGAAATCCTTGGGTCCATCGTCATAAGGTTGAGCAGAAGGCACTAGAATGAGACAGACACACACGACATGAGTATATACGAGTAATGTAAGTTATGCATGATTGGAAGAGAGCGATCATACAAGGAGATGCCGTTAAATAACGTGGAATGTGTTCGTCACCAGATAGCAGCACGCGTGTTTCGGACGCATTGGGTGGAAGCGTTTGCTCATCGTCACTGTCATCGAGATGGAAGGAGCGAGTGCCTATAGCAACATAGATTGGTCTTTTGTTACACGGGAGCTGTAGTCGGAAGAAGATCCGTCATTGAATGTCAAATACAATAAATACATACTGCCATCATTGGAATAAGTCGATAGACCTCGTTCTGATGGTTTCATGGATAAATCACAATGAATCGAAGGAAAAAGAAGAAATGGGTCGGTGCGAAAGAGAGGAGGTCAAAGAGTAAGAGCAAAAGGGATGCTTCATGCCAATTAGGGTACGCCACTTGCCTTTTATCGGCTGCTTGGTCGTGCCCGCGGAGCACCTTTCGGGGGGTTGTGTAGGTGTGTGTGTGTGTGTGTGCGTGTGGATGGGCCACACCAAGAGCAGCAGCAGCAGTACAGGAGATCTACTTTTGACCCAAACCCCTATAACAACAACACACAATGATCACCATTCACAGCTTGCCCTTCTATTTTTAAGTTCCATGTAATCCCACCCACTCACTCATACAAGTAAGTACCGAGCAAATAGGTTAACGGTGCACCTTTCATTTTCCTCTGACGCACGTTGTATATGCATATTGACACAATCCATCATGCAATATCACTGGTGATACTCATCATCATCACTATCGGCGTCTTTTGTATAAATTCATGCATGCCGTCTCCTTATCAGCACCTAAAAGTAATCACAATGGATGGTGGTAGTGGTGGTGGTAGTACACATGTATGTGCACCGATGGCTTCCCGGTACCGATCCATCATTGCTTCCTTCTTTAACATCATCATCATCATCATCATAAAACAAGGTTAAGGTTACTCATCATCAGCATATCACCTATCGTGCTGATATTAGTATACATGGCAACCCGATATCAGAGCATGTGTCAAGAATGCAGGTCAATGCAAATACCTACTTACTCGGTGGATGGAGATGCTGATTATTCAAGGGTCAAAGGGTGAAACAAAGACTTTCCATGTGGGGAGAGACAAATAAACACATACACACACCCACGTTCCTCCCCCAATTGTTTGTGGCAATATTGCCTTTGCAGGTTGAAAGAGTAGTAGCAGCAGCAGCCGTCGTGGTCGATAATGAATCTATCATCCGGGAAATTGGGGGGGGGGAAGTTGTGTGTCCAAATCAAAGCACATCATCATCTCGATCCCAATAGGTGCACGTATATACCCGGTCTGCAGTCGAGATGTCTTGATCATATGACACATACATCTTTATCCTCTTTTTACTGGAATAGGTTAAAGACAAACCTATTTTCTTCCATTCTCATTCCAGCTCGTTTTGGAAGAAAAAGAAACAGCCCGCTTATTGGTGATCATTATCATGCACCACCACCACCACCACCACCGCCGCCGCTCATCACATCCTCACGGTTTCTTTTTATCATGTGAGATACTTGATTGGTAATTACAATGAAATGGAATAGTGCGTGTGTGCGTGTATATTATAGATGATGCAAAAAGATTATAAAGAAAAAAGAACGATTAGTAAAAAAAAGAGGAGTAATAGTGAAAACAGAATGGCAATGTTTATATCAAGCAAGCCTTGCTAGAACACAGGTGTAGTATGCAGTGCATGTGTATATTCTTTCTCTTCTTGTGTGCGCTTTTTTTTTTGATGGTGTGAAGTGATTGGGTTGTGTGAGTGTGTGAGTGTGAGTGTGTGTGTATATGACATTTAGAAAAGTGTGCGTGTGTGCGTGGTATGCGAATAATCTCAGACTGTGCCACATGTCACAAACGACATGAACGCTTGCCAAAGCCCGCGTTGCTGTTTTTGTTGTTCTCCCAGGTGGTGTTGTTTTTGTGGGTCGTTATCATCATCCATTGTAAATTCATGATGTTTATTGGCCACTTGTTGTTCCGGAGCTGAAAGAATAGGTTGTGGCATCACTGGAAGAGTGGTGGATGTATCTGCAGCACCAGGTAATGTCGTTGAAGCAGTCGGCAATGGAGGAGCAGGCTGAGATGGTGTTGCTGCTGCTGATTTGTGTGCCCGACTAGAACGTGGAGCATGGCTTTCTGGTGACAGTGCTACGCGTGATGTTGCTTCACGTCCTTGTTGTTGATGTCGTTTGGAACGGTGTTCAGATTTGGATCGATGCTATGATAATAATGTCGTCAGCAAACAAGTTTATCATCCCTGGGTGTACACAACTCCCCCCCCTTTTTTTCCCTTCTTCTTCTTTACCTCGTAACCTTTGCCGCCATTAAGAAGCATCCAATCATAGACACCATCATCCGTTTCACCTTTGCGTTGAATAGCCTTGTCAAATAGCTCTCGCAAAAACTCGTAATCGGGTGACTCTTCAAAGCCCAGCTTGCGAACATACTGCATGTAGATGGCAAACTCCTCTAAAATAATAGATGCGTATGGATGATCAGCATTGCATGAACCAACCCCTGGGAAAACCCTCCGTTATGTACCAGGAAAGCCGTGGCAAAGGTCCTTGATTGCCGTTGTTTGTTTTTTCTCTCCAATCTTCTCGTACTTTTGCTTGTTGGTAGCAGCCTTGAGACCTTGCCATGGCAACGACCCACGTAAAAAGTACATGAATACATGACCCAAAGATTCAAGATCATCACGTCTTGATTGCTCTATTTGAAAGGCGGAGTATGTGTGTGTGTGTGTGAGTGTGATGTCGTTCTCATCTTCCTCTTCCCCCACCCCCCAAATGCTCCTTTGATGATTTGAATACCGCCCCTTGTCCAATAGAAAAACGAACCTCTTCCTAAATGGGTATTGATACTCATGTATCTGGCTGTGCCCGAGAGACTTTTGCGTTCACGGTAAGGGATATGCTGCTTTGTCTTTGGATCTCTGTATAGCTTAGCCATGCCATAATCAATCAGGTACACCGTATTGGCTTGCTTGGTTGCTGGACGACCAATCAAAAAGTTGTCAGGCTTGATATCACGATAAATGAGATTGCGTTCATGCACTTTTTCAACACGTAGTAGCTATGTATGTATAGTATAAGTATTTACTCTCCCCGGGATGTTGCACCAATGATTATTACCATTTGTTTGGCCAACATGGCTACTGTCTTGATTGAGAATTTTCGGCCACACATGTCAAATACATCCTCAAGACTGGGTCCCAGCAGGTCGATCACTAGTATATTATGTTGACCTTCTTGTCCAAAGTAATAGGCACTCGGCACACCAGCTAATGAAGGAATAGAATGAATGAATACATGTCATTCCATATGCAAGGCGATGATGAATTGAATTGTTACTTTACGTAAACCGGATAGGATTTTATAGGTTCGATATTCGTCTCGTAGCTGGGGTGCTTCACATTTGCGTGCTTCAAACTTGATAGCGACCGATTGGTTATTGAGGAGATTGGTTCCTGTGCCATGGCTATACATGAATGCTATGCATCGCGGTGGAATGGGATAGTAAAATACCTTCGTACAAGACGCCAAAGCTACCTTCGCCTACTTTTTTGCCCACTCGGTAATGAACACCGACAATGTTGGTTGAAGAAGACGACATTGACTTTGAAGAAGTAGACTTTGTAGGAACGGCGTTGGTAGCGAGACCCGAGTTGTGTTGGCGGTCGCGAGTGGTGGTCATGACGGCATACGAGAAGGGATGATATTTAGGATAAAATGTATGGTATAGTTAAGAGGAAGAGTAAGAGGGGGGAAAGAAGAAGAGGGGAGGAAAGAAAAAGATACGGGTGCAAGTAAGGGGGTGGTTTAAGGAAGGGAGGAATAAGAAAAAAGTGAAAGAGAAGGGAAAGCACTACCAGCAAACAAACGATTGCAGTGTAAAAAAAAGAGAGAATGATGCACGTGCTGTTATCCATCCGCTATCTGTTGTTGTTTGTGGCACATTCAACGATGCAATATAGGCTGCAGTGCAATGATGGGTGCGCGCGGGTGGGTTGGGTGGCAACTTATGACATACAAGATAGTGTGCAACCTGCCATGTGTGGTGGTGGTGGTGTACTCTCTAACATGACGGCAACGTGGTTTATCGCTCTCCCCGTAAATCCACATATACCCTTGACGATTAAACAAAGAGAAAGAGAGAGCTCCATTGTACTATTATGCTCCTTGTCATTCATTATTTGAGTTGATCTCATGGTAAATACTGTACCCCTGGATTATCTTGGAGACAAGATGGATGTACGGATCTGAGGCGGAGAAGGTTGCTGTGTGTGAGTGTGAGTGTGTGTGTACTATATTATATCATCGCCGCCACTTTGCCTTTTTATCCTTTGTACCTGCACTAACCTAAAGTGCCCTGCTGTTGTTGATCCTATAATGTATCCCATAGCAACCATGGTAGTCTCATCATTCATCACCAATGACCCCATAGTATTATACACTCATCATAGCAACGGAGGAGAAAAAAGATAGGTCGCACACACCATGGAGCGGGGTTGTCCAATGTAAGTGGTCATGCAAAAAGGTATGTCGGTCGGCAAGTGATCGGGATCTTTCCACACTCGTTTTGTGTTGCTTTCCAAAAGAAAAATGAGTAAAACCAAAAGGGAATCTTGTGTGCCTTGCTTTTCGAGTAGGACAAGCCACGAGGTGTGCTGCAATAATGATGTGCTGCGAATAATTATCTTTTAGCGGCACAAAGCCGATGCAATGGAAATGAACCAAGATGCTCTTGAAAAGATTTGGGAAAGCGTGTTTGCTATTCTCGCACAATCGGATCTGATTGGCCCTATTTTGTAGGCTACATATCTCGGAAGCAGATATCCGCCGTGTGTGTGAAGCTTAATAGACATTGACGACATATGTTTTTACTACACGTACTACATAGTACCTTAATTATTCAAACACACACACACTCACGCAGTACGAGAAAAAGTGTATCGCTTATTATATGGGTAAATGGTCCTCACACACATAGCATTGTATCAACATGTGGACACTTTTAAATACATGCATTGGACAATATGCCTATAGCTTGTACCTACAAGGAGGGCGAATTACCATTGTCGTAGTATTATGGTGTATAATAAAGAAGTCGGTTTGATTCGAGATCGTGCATGATTGTATTTGGGGAATGCAAGTTTTGTTTATGCATAGTCGTACTATCGAGATATGCTTGCTTGACGACATGGGGAGATGGGGATTGGCAGGTCGTGTGGATAGTGGCTGGTAGCCATATCAATGAGATGTTGTGGGTAGATGGGTATATCCGCATTGGGTTTCGGAAAAGTCTTTTGAATAATCACCGCTTCCTCTAGATCGAAAATGAAGGAGAGTTAAATAAAACCGGGGGTTGTTATTGTTGTTATTGATGCATCAGCAATAATAGAGATAGGAATTCTAAGGAGATAGGTGCGTGTTTTTGATAAGAAAGAGAGAGAGATGAGAGGAAGAAGCAGGAACGATAATGGACCGTGTGTAAAAGAGAAAAAGAGTCGAATGGAACGAAATATACCACATCACGTGAAAGTGTGGAGAAGATTTGTTTGTGCCCACCCATTAGGCGCCGGGTGCGGGCAATCTTTCTTTTTCTTGTACATTTACCACCCTCCTCTTTTCTCATATGCTTAAATGCCACAATAACCATGCCATCTCCAATGCCTGTATCCACCGAGTTTTATCTTTCAGAAACACCCACCGAACGAGACCGTCGTATACGCGATCTGTTTGATACTCTCGATCGGAACAAAAGCGGGCATCTGGATGCTGAAGCTATTCGCAAAGGATTCACTCAAATGACACATCTGCCAGCACGCAACAAATATGTTAACGAGCTATTGGATCGCTGCGACACCAAACATGATGGATACGTTGATTTTCATGAATTCAAAGCCTACGTATGCGATAAGGAGCGCGAGCTATGGCAGCTGTTTCAGACTATCGACAGAAGCGGTGATGGTAGACTGAGACCAAGCGATCTCGAAACAGCATTACGAATCAAGGGCATCGAGGTATCACGCGAAGAGTTTATGGATTTCATGCAGCTTATGGACTTGGGTAAATGGGGGTGAGGAAATCAAAGCAAATTGAATATGGATGGATGGATGGGTATGGAGTGTGGCATGTTGTGGATGGAGCTATGTGTGTGTGCGTGTGTCTGTGTGGAGAGAGAGGATATGGGAAGGTTATAGGATGGCATATTAACAACTGCTATTATTATAGATGGCAATGGTGTGATTGATTTTCACGAGTTCAAGAACTTCCTTTTGGTATGTGGATCATGTGGGAAAGGGTAAAGGGGGGGATCAACTCAGCACTCATGCTTTCAATGTTCTAGTTATTGCCACAAGCCAACATGAGTGAAGTTTATCGCTACTATCAGGCGTCAACAAGGTTATCACCCGATGCTGAAGTCACCATTCCACCAACCGATGAGACATCAAGTCATGCATTGGGATATCTTCTTGCCGGTGGTTTTGCAGGCGCTTGCTCGAGAACATGCACCGCTCCTTTTGATCGTCTCAAAGTTTATCTCATCACCAACCAAAACAGCTCGGTCAGCTTACGACAAGCGATCACTCGCATTTATCAACAGGGTGGTTGGCGTGGCTTCTTTGTTGGCAATGGATTAAACGTCATGAAGATCGTACCCGAGTCAGCTATCAAGTTTTATTCCTATGAGACATGCAAACGACTGATTGCAACCACTTTTGGCTATGATGATAAGGATTCGATTCCGACGACAGCACGTTTCATGGCTGGTGGTACTGCTGGCATGTGTGCACAGTTTTCCATTTACCCCGTCGAGACATTGAAAACGCGCGTCATGTCACTGCAACGTGAAGGCAAGGTTACCAGCTCTCGGCAACACTCAATCATCTTGGACACTATAAAGAGCATGTATACAAAAGGCGGCATTCGTGCTTTTTGGCCAGGTTTGGTAGGTTGAAGAATGAATGGATGGATGATGGTGGATGGGAAGACTCACATGCTGATTGTGTTGCAGACACTTGGCTTGATTGGCGTCTTTCCATACCAAGCTTTGGATTTAGGTAAGCAAGAAGGATATAGTCTTGTTGTTGGATGGTATTTTTTGACAACTTTTATAGGCATATACGAGACCCTGAAATTGACATACTTGACATACATGGAAGAAAAGACCGGTGGCACAAACCGACAACCCAGCGTGCTTGTATTGTGGGCCTGTGGCATGATTAGTGGATCCATTGGAGCCACTAGTGTCTATCCGTTGAACGTGAGTCTTTTCATTTGAATGCAATGACCATGTTTTAACCTTGTTTCTTTATAGGTGATTCGAACTAGGCTACAAGCTCAAGGAACACCAGCTCATCCAGTGTATTATAATTCACCATGGCATGCTGTTCAAATGACCTACAAAGTTGGCGGCATTCGAGAGTTCTATCGAGGTCTGGGACCTACGCTTCTAAAGGTAAGATAGGTGAAAGGAGAGGGTTGGTTTTCAAGGGCAACAAGGATTGACATGATGATGGTATATAGGTTGTGCCTGCAATCAGTATAAGCTATGTAACATATGAGTGGAGTAAACGGCAGCTCGATATCTCGTAGTAGACTATTCCAATTCTTATCATTTCATTCACAAGACACCATAACCCCTCGCACAGCTCACATATACACCACACACATTTGCTATTATGCGAGATCATTCCCCGGCATTCTTCTCCAAAAACGATTAAAGTCATCCAACATTCACTCACATTCAATCACATATGTATACTACTCATGGTCTTCTTTTTTTCTCATTATGAATGGGTATTACAACGGCAATGGATTACATTGTAGATATTTCTATGACGATTTGTATTGTGCTAATTGTTGTTGCAAAATTGAGTTGCGTTCTTTCCATTGTGTCTCGATACGTGCTACTCGGTCTTCGGCTTCCTTTTGTATCTGATCCATCCATTGTTCTTGCTTTGCTTCTTCTTGACTCAACCACTGATCCACGATTTGTTCAAGGCCAACACGATACTTTAGCTTCAATGTTTCAAATTGATCTCTTTGCTTTTCAAGCAATGTGCGCTTTTCCGATTCAAATTCGGCTTTGTAGTCATCGGTCGTCCCTTTCAATCATCCACATCATCAATAAAAAGTGTTGTCAATTTGCCTTCATTCTCTTTATGCTTACCACCATGTCTTGCTTCCAATTCGTCAATCCGAGCTTGCCGTTCATCTAAGCATATCCGTAATCGTTGAATGATTTGCTCAATTGTGTGGTCTTGTTGATCATCAAGTATATCATCAAAAGTATCATGCAAGTGTTGATATAAATATGACTCGGTTTGATCATGATGGGATGGATCAAGGTGATGGTTGCCATGGCTATCCTCGTCGTCGTCGTCGTCGTTGTCCTCTTCCTCTTCTTCTTCAGCCACCCATATAGAATGTAGATTATGTCGATAAGGTGGTGGGTCTAATCGAGATCCAACCTGGTAACGCTGAGTTGTTGTTTCACTCTTGCTTGTGCGGGGTATTGTCTGATCTACAATTGCTGCTGCCCGCTGTTGCTGCTGCTGCTGTTGTGGTTGCGTCTTATGCGAGAGGCGGACAAGTTGGCGTCTCGGTAAACGTGATTGACTCATGCTTGGACGAGGTCGATTATCACCATTGTCATTGGATGATGGTTGCTTAAACTTGGTTTCCAATGATAGTTGAGCCATACGCTCGTGCAACGATCGCATACTATTGTTGTGCTCTGGTATCCCTTCAGGTAAAAATGAGCTATGAGACTGTGTTGTCATGGGTGTGATATCCGTAGCTTGCGTACGTGAAGACGACGATCCACTGGAGGCGGAATAGTGTGGTGCTGGTGGTCTTGCAAAGTGGTTGAATGAAGTAGCTCGACGGCGATTACTGTTTTCCCGACGATGCTCCACATGTCGCAAAGGACCGTTCGAGATCATGATGGCATTAGTCTCAGTACAATATACAGAGAGAAAAGAAATACAACAGGCGTGTACAATGTATGAGAGTACGCTAGGTGTATATATAAAAGGATCAATAATAGAGGGTGGGTGATATGCAACCGATGTGATGGACAAAAAGGAAAAGGGGGGAGAGAACGTAGTACAATAAAGGAAATGCGTCCTTCGTTCAGGAGAACTTTAACGCGTTGAATACCTTATGCAATACTATACGTGTGCAGATGGATATGCGTCACAAGATGACGATCGATCCACATGATGTGTATTTTGATCCTCTTGATTTCGATCATTGGGTAGTGAAATATGACTATTTTCCTCTTCCTGCTCCTTGCTTGTGACAAGAAACATTGTTGGGTCTCGTACAACAAGATTGTTGGTAATCCTTGATCATAGCTATTGTTTCCCTTTCAGGATAGGTCACATGCCACATGAAAACTTTCCATCACTTTTATTCCCAAACGCTGGTCAAGTCACCCTACCCTTTATGCAATCACTGATGTTATGCATCACACATTCTCTTTTCAATGATTGGTGCTTGTTGCTTTCCCACTTGGCTCTTGAAGAGGAATGATAGATTTTATTCCTTTATCTATGACATTTGTTCGATAGTACACAATGTTCTTCTACATACCTGCTACGATGTTTTTGTATTGATTGTTGGATGCCATTATTATGCGGATTGGAGGCTTCAGCAGCATGACAAAAGGTCCCAGAACTCTGATTGATTGATTGAAATCACTACTTTGACTGGGGTTTATGGTATATGCATGATGTGGCGTGGGATTTTTCAAATATAAAACGCCTCCCCCTTCCATTTCTTTCATCTTCTTTCATCTTCCCTTTCATTCAACCTTAAGCAAACATGGGAATTCTCACATATTGCGTTGTTACTGGTGTTAGCGCCCTTGTCGCGTCAACCGGTGTTGGTGTACCTCTGTTAGGTGCTATTGGATTTTCCGCAGCTGGTCCTGTAGCAGGTTCCCTGGCCGCTGGTGCCCAAGCGTTTGTTGGCAACGTTGCCGCTGGCTCCTTTTTCGCTGCTGCCCAAGCAGTCGCCATGGCGCCGGTTACCCCCTAGTCATCCACGTTAGCTTATGAAGATATACCTTTCGATATGATCGTTGAATCATTTTTGCAATACCAACAAAAAAGGAGCCATCTACCACGTAGTCATCTACATTAGCTTATAAGACATTGTATATCTCTCGAGATTATCAAAATTGAATTATTTTTGCAATACCAACAATTTGAACAACAATAAAAATTTGGCAGTGTCATTTAGCATATGAGGCAATGCATGGTCATCATATTGTAGTTCGCACTACCAAAGCCCAGAGAGTTCCTTGATCGAAGCAAAGTAATGAGATGATGTTATGGGCACCTCAAAGCGTTATGAAGATGTCACTTTGGTTGCTGACAAGATCTACAATTGATTGATGGAATAGGCCTTCTTTCTTCAAGCGTAGTTTACATAGACAATGAGCATACACATGAACATGCATAAAGAACCATCATACAGTTTGGATATTGACACTTTTAAATGGCTATCTACAAATCACATGTCTATTGTTGCTAGGTGATACAGAATGCGCCTGAACTAGTAGGAGCGGCCTTTCAACATGCAATCGGCCAAATTGGGTTGTGGGGTTATGTCTTTCACAGGCTGACTGAAAGTCTATTAGTCATTGTTCCTCTTTCTCATTCGCAACACAAAAATGTCACTTCCCCAACTTGCAGGTGGAGCCGACTGTGGCCCTGCCAATCCAATGGCCAATCTCATGAAGCAATTCCACCAGGATCGATCACTGCAACAGGTATGGCAAAAGGGTGTACTACAATGAAAGTGCTGGTTGTCTTATTCGTCTGGTTTAGGATCGTTTCGGTGAACAGCGGGGCGAGAGTTCAAAGGTAAAAAGTGAGCTTGGGAACCAAGATGGACAACAGGGCATTGACAAAAGGAATGTACTACAGGCGGCAGGCTTTCGTTCACGACCCAGCGGACCAGCACCTATGGATCACCAGGTAAGAATAGCTCCCAAAAGGATAGGATGGGATATGACTAACTGGTGGTTTGGATATATAGTTTACCGAAGAATTCTTACGAGATGATGTGAGAGGAGGCATGGAACGACCACCAGGAGCATTCGAATTCAGTGGATTATCACGAGAGCTTGAGAATATTCATCGCCAACCACAAGAAGGATGGGCTGCTGATTTCATGCAAAATCAACATCAAATGATGGGCCCACCCGATGCTCATCAATTTGAAGAATTTGAAAAGATCTATCAACAACGAGCTGGCCCAATGCAACAAGGTAGATTGGTCGAGCTATCTATCTATTACAGTGCCAATGGAGATTGACTCTCTCTCTCTTTTTATAGGACAACATCATCAATGGCGTGAAGAATTCGATACGTTTCATGCACCTGCACAACAAAATGTCCTAGCTCAACATGAACACAAAGCTTTCGAACGAGCATTTGATGAAGCCAAGGGAGTGGATGTCAATTGGGAAAAGGAGTTTGCAGCACAAGAATCTGGATGGGCAGCTGAATTTGCTGAGCAAGAAGGGACCACAGCAACCACATCAGAGCATGATAAGGAAGCATTGGCTCGTACGGCAGGAATGCTTTTGGATTCAGTCGACGTGAATAGCAACCCAAAGTTCAAAAACTCCAATTTCATGAACCTCATGCGTAACTTGCGGGACCGTAAAGTATCCATTGAAGGCAACAAGATGGTGCCTAGCAACCAAGGCGGAGATTGGGTTTCAGAATTTGGTCATGGTGCTTCTTCTTCCTCCTCTACTTGGGCAGACGACTTCGCAGCAAAGGCTGGCAATGCATCGAGTGGCAACATGTGGAGTAATGAATTCGCATCGCAAGCTGAACGAGGATGGTCTGAAGAGTTTGCTACAGCCAATCCAATGCATCATCATCAGCAACCAGCCATGGCATCCTCATCATCAGCAACACAACAAGATTGGACATCCGAATTCAGCAAACAAGAAGCTGATATATTTGGCAAAGGCACTGAAATGCATGATTGGGTTGAGCAATATCACCGGGGCATGGATCGGATAAAAGAAGCTCAAGATACGGATTGGCAAGAAATGCAAAAGGATTGGGATCGACTTAAAGAGGACAATGGATCATCAGCTTTTCGAGCCACCAATCCAGAATACCAGACTTACAACTTTGCAACGGACAATCCCTATCTTCTTGATCCAACCGCTATTGATCGTGTCGAGCACAATACACTCGCTGATTCGATTCTTGCTCTGGAAGCCAAGACACAATTACAAACATCGAATGCAGGTGCATGGCAAGAACTTGGTTTCAAGCAACAAGAAAACGAGCGTGATGCAGCTGCGATTGCCGCTTTACGACGTGCTGTATCCATGGACCCTACTTTGGTGGAGGGTTGGCTTGCTCTGGCAGTGAGCTACACCAATGAAAATTGTCGCTTGGATGCCTATGATGCCTTAGAACAATGGATCACCAACAATGAAAAGTATAAGCATTTGATCGGCAACGGCAAGGCACCTGTGGAACAGCATAATCGACATGCTTATATCACCAACTTGTTTTTGGAAGCTGCACGAAGTTCGCCAGGTGCAGAAATGGATGCGGATGTCCAAGTGGGTCTTGGTGTATTATTCAATGTGTCTGAAGAATATGCCAAAGCGATCGATTGCTTCAAGGCCGCTTTGCAAAGCCGTCCTCAAGATTACTTACTATGGAACAAGCTGGGTGCTACTCTAGCTAACTCTCGTGATACCACTGGTGCCATTGATGCCTATTTTACTGCTCTTGAAATTAATCCTTCCTATGTGCGCGCACGCTATAACCTCGCCATCAGCTGCATCAACCTCGGTCAACATCGTGAAGCCGCTGAGCATCTTTTAACATCACTGGCTATTCAACAACAAGCCGACTCACAAATTTCCATGCTCATTGATGAAAATGGTAACAAGGTGCCGGTCCAAGGAGGCATGAGTGAAAACGTATGGGATAGTTTGCGTATGCTCATGTTCATGTAAGTTTTATTCGATTGGATATCCCTTCCAACATGGAGACTAACTGTTGTTATATAGGATGAACCGCGAGGATCTCGCCAAGCATTGTGACAGCCGCAATTTGAATGTCTTTCGTGGAGAATTTGAATTTTGAGCTTGAAGAAGATAACCCGCCATCACCACCATTATCATCGACGTCATCATCTCCTCCCACTACTTTTACTCTTCCTCATGACAAACGTTATATCTGGAGTACGCCCAAGGCAACATGGTGTGTATTTCCGCACGAGTTCATTGGATGATTCTTTTTTTTTATTTGTACAGTAACATCGACATCATCAATAAATCACGTAAATATATCAACATCATGAAATGTATTGTGAGGGATCATTCGATGAGAATATGGTATAAATCTTTCTAGACATGGACTTGTTGATATGCCGACCACGAGACGCTGTAATGGCTCGATCAACCTAGATATGATGAGGATATGAGAACACATGTGATATAAGGATAAGGGTAGCACTTACTTCAACATCAGCCAGCATGGAAACTCGTTCTTCCTTATCAGCCAATCCTTTGTATGCATGATGTAAAGATTGCACCGTGGGGTATGTACGTGTTACAGCTTGTGCAATGGGTGGTGTGCAGAGGTGAATTTCTTGCAACATCTTGTTCCACGTATCCGCAGGATCCTTGCCACAACGAAATGCGCCATGTTTTCTAAGTTGCTGCTTTCTATACATCGATTCTATCATTAGATGGGGAAGGGGGCCAACAGTGATATCCCAAATATACGTACTTGTATGGAGCACTACCAATGTCAGCAGTAAGAGCCACAATCCAATCCACTGTGTCTTCCTCATCCGTCGTTGGCACCAGCATAATATTCTTCATCAGCTGAAAATACGTCAGGGCTTCTTCCATATCTTGCTTTGTGGGACCTGTCATAGCTGCAGCTGTCAAAGGATCTCGTATCCGCCTATTGCTACTACTGCTGCTGCTTGATTCTGCGGTAGCGTGTCCATTTTCTATAGAGCGAATGACAGCTTGTTCGAAATCTCGTTGCCTGAGCAGGTTCTTGCGCTTGTAATAAGTTTCAAGTCCTTCCACCATAAGAAGCAATTGCTTGTCATTTCCAGCAGCAGCTTGCATACGATCAATACGACGATCTCGATCCGATGATTTGACGAGTTCACATAGCTCGGGTACTGGCATGAATATCAACACTTGAGGTTCTTGGACAATGCGTACTTTTTTGTCAGGGTATGGGATAAAGGATGCCAGCTCTTCATTCCACTCGGCTGTACACTTGCGACTCCAAGCAATGGTATAATACATGGTTTCCACCTCCTTGATCTCGGCTTCTTTGGGAATGATCACTTGGCGTAACAGCTCACCACGTGACGATGATGCAAACTCCTTATCCACCTCCAATATCATCTCGCTGTACAAGTCATCACGCTTTCTCCGTAGTCGATTGGCTTGCTCAAACATCTTTTTCTTTTCCTTCTCAGCCTACATACGCCATGTCAATCTTCATGATTCAATAACATGAATAACAATCATCATACATACCTTGAGCTGTTCCTTGGCCCTTTCCTTCTCTTGCTTTTCTTGTCGCTACATGCTTGATCAATATGTATTCTTGTATGATTCTAGGGCTCATTCTTCCTACCTTTTTTTCATCACGTGCTTTCTTTTTGGCAGCTTGCTCTTCTTTTTTCTTTTGGGATTGGGCACGTTTTGACTAGAATATCAAATCAGCATAACGCATCATGTCGTTGTCTTTCACTACATACCTTGGCAAATCTTTGTATAGCGACCTCCTTTTCTGATTCACTGCTACTACTACTGCTGCTATCATCATAATCCCACTCCTTCAAATAATCCATTGAGAATGCTGTACGTCGTTGCGGTTGCATGGCGTCAAATGTTGGTGGAGGCGATTTACGTCGTTGTCGTTTAGTACTGGGTGTGGATGGTGCCGAGCCTTGAAGAGTAGCCGAAAAAGTACCATCATCATCGTCTTCGTCATTGCTTGATGCAAGATCAATGGCATCCATTACTGAGGTGCCACCTTGAGATCCCATGATAGGTTGAGTCGACTGAGATCTGATACCATGATCATCATTTTCATCATCATCATCATCATCGAAAAGGGGTCGGCGTTTCCGAGCGTTATGATGAAGACTTGGTGCTGGAGATGAAGCGATAGGTGATGATATCAAATCAAGAGGTGGTGATGATGCGTCAGAAGGTGCTTTCTCTGGTAACATGAATGACGATGGTTCTCTTATGGGAGAAATGGGGTTGTTGGATAATAATGGTGAATTCCGCAGCTGTTGTGGTTGTGGTTGTGATGTTGATGATGATGTTGATGCTAGTAGTAATGGTGGAGAGATTGACAATCGTGGAGCAGGAGGAGATGGCGTTAAAGGTAATCCAAGAGGTGATAATGATGCTACTCGTTCAGGAGATGATGGTATAGAGATCCTATTATTAAACAATGAAAGATGAATATACAATGGCACTATCATATTGGAGTAGTGACTTACTGGCGTTGTAACGTCGTTGTTGTCCTTGCAGGTGGAAGATCCCCTAGATCGTCGTCGTCCGAATCCAAGATAATATGCGATTGCAGCGATGGGTCGCGATCGGTCCCTTCAAGAAACTAACGAGTAGAGCTTAATATAGGTCGAATGGGATAGCCATGTAGAACATACGCTTCCGTCAAAGATCCGGTTCACTGTCATTTCCACACTCTTGGTCTTTAAGAGATCGACACGGATATCTGACAGCCGCCTTCCAGATAAGTCCTGCACTTGTTTCGACATGCGATCGAGTTCGTCGGGATCCATGGCTATAAAGTGTGAATGGGGCTGTTGGTGATATGAAGAACAAGCAATGCCCGCGCGTGAAATTATGTATCACGAGATCACCAGTTGCGCGATGACTTGAATCTCAGGAACATTTCATTCTTACGTTTATAGTGGATCTTCCTTAATATCGGATACATCAAGCTATGTGCTGGCACCTAAGATACACCATTAAATGATAAAAGTCGTCTAACCATTATGATCACGTGAATAAAAGTTGTTGAGAGATGTCGATCCTCAATTGTTTCCAGAATCCCTCTAAATCAATGACTACATCATCATCATCATCCATGCTGCTGTAGAAAGACGAGGCCAGATCACCGGATATTGAGAACTGTTAAAGACCTGTTGCGTAAGGCACCTAAGACAATGTGATGCTGCGCACAGCTGACTAAGGATTATTCATATCGACGCTTACGTGTTTAAAGACGTGGATGATTGATGATGGATTAGACGCGTGTCCCTGGTTACCAAATGAGGAGGAGTACAATTACACCTGACATTACATCTTTATTACTTGCATCAATGTTGAACGAAGATCGTGAAGAATAATTACTACTAGTAATAGTCCACTGATGTTGGCCATTCATCCAATAAAGCAATAGCTATGCTGCTATTTGTCTATGCTGTTACATTAAGCTGCGAGATAATAATACCTGGCTTGTGATTCAATCGTGCCACGAGACACTCCTCGGTTATAAGAAGCCGTGTGCACCGAATGGTGGTGATTGCCAAGTTTGGCGATTCTTTTGTCTTGTGCACACTCTTCCCGCAACCCCTTTCACTCTTCACCTTTTACGTGGCCCTCCTTCCTCCTCTTCTTCGAGCATTGCAAGATGGAAGTCGACTCGCCAACTATACCACAATCGGTCATTGACGATGATCAGCACACCATGTATTATTATCAAGCACTCCCTTATGCACACCTCCTTGACCTTGAAGCAAAAGAATGGCTCGACGACATTGTCACCAACTTGATCGCTTGCATCAAAGCCCGGGATTTCAGCCGTGGCGTTGCATTTTGGACGAAGCACTTATCTCTGTATGTTTGGGAGCATAAAAAAAAGAGCTCGTGTTGTTTATACTCTTCTTTTGTGTCATAGATACCGAGAACTTAAGCATGATATTCCACGCGAAGCTCGAGCAACACTTGCAAAGTTACTGTATACCGTTGTCACCATCCCAGGAATGGATATCACCATTGTAGAATCATGCGCAAACATGTGTGTCCGTTTGATAAGGTAGGGTGCTCTAGTGGTGGAGGATGATACATGCAATGGCGATGGGGTCTCATTTATGCATACAATAGGAAAGCGCACCGTCTTGGACCAGAAGATTTGACATTGCCTTGGAAACCACTCTATGAAGCAATCGATCGATTCATCTTTGGCGAATTCGAAGCTCGTATTTATCATTCAGAGTATGATCATTGTTCCATACACACACGCACCTTTCTTTCATTCGCTATATATTGACCCTATCTTACTTTAGAAAACACATCAATGCCGTTGTCCGCTTAGCCGATTATGCACAACGCTTCTTCCCGCCATCAGCTACAAAGGAGGTTTTGGATACGTTTTTACCAATGTTCTCAGTGGATTCAATGAAGGATGTTGCAAAGACTCAAGGATACCTGGTTCTCTTTCTACCTCCCACCATCCCAAGACATTCCATCACAAATGAGAGATTGCCTGGTGGTGACAATGCCATCCATCCCAAAGAATACCTGCCAACGCTCTTCTCCATGTGGTCTATCATTACAGCATCTTCAACATACGACAGCCAATTCATCACACAACTTGCCAACATTGCCGAAGCCAACATTGATGATCCATCGATCGACAACACAGGTCTTTTTACACGGGAGCAAATCAAAGCAGTGTTTACAGTCGGCTTGCAAATGATGAGCATCCCTGTTGGCAGCAAAGATGGTAGCGGCATAGGCGGTGGAAGAAGAAGTGGATCAACCGGATATGGAAGCAATGGTAGAAAGAATGATATCAAAGCTGGTGATGCATTATTGTTACGAGGGAAATTGGTACGTAGTATAGATGAGAGGTTGTGCGTGTGTGTGTGATTAGGAATGGTTGACCTCTGTTTCTTCTTTAGGAGCGTTATCGATCGCTTGCCAAGTTTATTGTCTATTCTATCATTCCCGAGAATGAGGATGGTGCAAGTTATGCCCTGACACTTCTTGAAGAGCTCGTGCAAGCAACAGAGTTATACTATCACCCGTCAAATTATGGAACATGGTCGTTTTACCTCACATTATTCATGCATCATGTGGCTGAGATGTTTCTGAAACGTTGGCAAGAAGGTGGGTGATCATACAAACAAAGCATTGGATTGTTTATTAATATCTTTTTTGTTGTAGAGGAGGATCCTTCATGCAATACACCTTCCACAAGACGATTGACACCTGCACTGCGAAAGCGCTTTGTTTTGATCATCCGACCGCTTACCTATCTCAGTATCTTTGGCAAGGATTCATTTATTGTACGCACAACACAAAAGACGCTCAAGTTTTTATGCTGTAAGTACTTGAAAGAGAAATGGCATGGCTGCTGGATGGTTTCAAGTAACAAGGAATGGGTACATTGGTAGGGCTGGAACCAAACTTGATCTTTCCTGGTTTATTGGAACGTATTTATCCCTCGTTGGAAACATTGACCGAGGTAAGATGCTGCTTTCTCCTTCCTTTTCTCAATCAAGCTGACATGGATTCATTTAGACGCATCGCACAACGAGTGCTTTGGGTTTCCTAGCTGACACTGCTATGCCCCTTATGGCACGCGACCACTATGCTGCTGGAGGAAAACATCTTTTACCATTACTCGACCTTGCGACCCCTGGTATCGACATGAATGATCCTATCAAATCAGTCATCACCATGCTGTTCATCAATGCTGTGGTTGCCCTGGTCCCTGTCACCGATCTCACTACGGGTGCTTCTGGTTACGACAATGGATATGGCGGAGGAGTGGGTTACGAAGGCATGGATATCGATCCTTCAGATCATGAAGCACAGCTACCACGTGAAGAAGAGGATCGACTCTGCAAGACGTCTACAGGCGTATTTGAGGATTGGATGGCTAAATTCTTACGGCGTGTCTTTGCAATGGTACCTTTTTATCTTTCAATTTGCGCATAAAGATGGTACTAATCACCTATGTTTTACAGCTTGAAAACTTGCCCCAGCAGAATCGAACAAAGAATGATGGAGCCTATGAAACCGGATTGACGACGATGGTCATGGTATGGTATATGTATATATATGGCTAATGCTGGCATGTATACTAAATAATGGTACGTGTAGCACACCTGCGATACCTTATTCGGCCAATTGTCGGATGACATGTATAATCTCGCATTACGAATGGTGGTTGATTTCGTTGGTGGTCAAGTGCTGTCAAATGCAATTCATGCAGGTGGCCTTTTGTGTACCGCCGTTGCCAGTGCAAACCCTGCCAAGGCTGCCAAACAACTGATCCCGCTTTGTATCGGCAACATTATGTCTGAACTCGAACATGGTGCAGCTTCCACAGTAGTCAACTCTGCTACCTCAACGCCTATTCAATCCGATTCAACGTTGCATTGGTACCAAGGCATCCTCTTTTCCACCGTTGCTGCCATGGGTAGTGAGCTTCTCAATTACAAGTCTGATATCATCAATGTATTGAAGGAGATGAATGAAAAGTGCAAGAGCCGCACTGGTTTTACATGGTCTGGAAAATTGCTTCGTGCATCACTCAAAACGCTACTCGCCATCTATCCACGTGATTTTCGCAGCTTGACGCCCAACGAGTGGAATAACAAAGGTAAACTTTTCATTGTGCCTATGCAGGATTGTTAGCTGATCATGCTATATGTAAAGAATGCATGGAAAACTCGCACTTGTTGTGGGGCAAGCCTGGTGATCCAAAGGACCTGCAAATCGATTGGCACGTACCGACCAAGGAAGAGATTGATTTTGGCATGGAGCTTCTAGAGACATTTGTTGTGCCATCAATGAGTCAAGTACGGGAGTTGATCACGAATTATGGATCATCAGAATCATCCATGGCAACGCATGAATGGACCAATCTATTTTGTCGACATTTATCTTTGATCCGAAATGGTCTCATGGGCAGCACCTGCTTGATCCCTTGCAATGGATTTGAGCCTGAGAATGATCAAGAACGCTTGATGGAGTAAGTATGAAGGGTCATTCATTGTACATCAATTTCGCTAAACAATGACATACATAGTAGCAGCGACAGTGACATCATTTACAACCTTGAACATCCACCAAAGTTCAGTGCTGATTATCCCCTGAATGATCCACAAGACCCAACATATCAACGCGCCAAACAGCTGCGGAAGGATATCATTCAGCTCACACACGAGGCGATCCAATTCTTTCAAACAAAGCGAGAAGATGATTTGGAGAGCTTGAAGGTCATTATCAAGATTTCAAGGACGTTGGTTGATGATCAGGGTATTGACAAGAAGAGCATGGATGGACACTCGGCGAGATACACTATGGCACATACAATGTACAAGACACCTTTAAGTCACAAGCATTATCCTCGTGGTATACTAGGTAGGTAGCAAAGGGAGAAATCAAATCCTCATCCTCATACGCTAAGCAATTTTTTCGCCTTAGTCCACAGAGCGTACCTCTTGCATTTACGACGTCTTCGTACAAACGTCAAGATGAATACGCATGCTTCAGTGTTGAGTTCAACGTTTTTACGTGATCTTTTGGAGTTGTCTTTGAGTTCCTATGCCGAAATTCGAAAGTATGTATGCCTCCTGTACAATATCTGTGTTGTTACTTACGCCTCTTTTATTGGGATAGGTTGAGTCAAAGCACGTTGAATGCTGCCTTGAGAAACTTTGGTGGAGCTCGTAAAGAAATCGTGCCATTGATTGTGGATGTCTTGCAGCCGAAAGAAAAAGGTAACCATCAACAGTATCATCGATAAACATAGTACTTATTGTCCCTGGTATCCATAGTGGATAAGGATGCATATGCAAACAAGATGAAAGGCGCTTTGTACCTCCTTCAACAAAAGAACATTTTGAGTCCTTGTATCCATCGTTCAGACCTCACTCCCAAATTTGTCCTGTCGATCTGTAAGGCCCAACATGAAGATAAGGTATAACATTTAAGGGAAGATCAAGAATACATTGGATCCAACTAACCCAAATCCATCCTATTGTAGCCTTCAATCCAAGAACTGATCCGCAAGCTATTTATCAGCTTTATATCATCCTCTGCCATTGCAGCTGTTCTTTCACGGATATTGGTGCCTGAAGATGACGACAAGTACTTGGACGAGCTAGCCCAATCCGTCAAGATCAATTCACTTGTGGACGCTTACAAAGCTAAGGTTGAAAGCACCCAGCACAAACGTCAAGAATCATACGATGATATGATCAGCTCGTTATTGGATCTCTTGGAAGACCCCAAGCTTCATTGGCGATTTTCGACTATGGCAGCCAATGTGATTCAAGTATTTACACGACCAGAGACAGCACCTACTGCCCGCATGGCAACCTTTGCTATCAAGAGCACGTTATCTGAGCTTTCACCTATGCGACGAATTGGTGTATCGGTTACAACACAGCTGCTGCAATACATTGAGGATCGCACCCTTACACAAGGCAATAATGACAAGCTGATATCCAAAGACATCAATGACCCATTGGAACGTGAGGTGCATGTCTCTCAAGACCTTGCTCAAAAGTACCTTTCCATCATGACTCAAGAACTTACCGAGGAAAGCATTGCTGAGTGGCAAGTATAATTGCATCATCATCGTATGCTTAATGTGTGTGTAACTTATGCTTCATTTATGTGTATGTAGTCCATTGGTCGATGAACCCTCTACCGGCTGGTATGTGTGGCCTGAAAAGTTCAAAGGACGTACCCTACGACCTGCAACATCAGAGGATCGTGACATTGACGAAGCCAGCAAAGGAGCTTATGATGAATTTGAGAGATCCTTCACGTCGACGTCATTCTGGGAATCACTTTCAAAGTACATGTCACAAGAATTATCACAAGCAGAGGAAGATTTATTCAATCGCGTCAACGTCAACCTCTATGAGAACATCTTTATCATCTATGAAGACAAGCCCATATCAGCTATGCAAGAACAACTCAAAAAGCTTTGTGAGTCCATGGAGCAACGTAGCCATCAACGTGCTGCTGCAGAGATGATTACAGGCTTGGTGCGTGGTACGGTGAATTGGCCTCTCGTCAAGATCCAAAAGTTATGGGAATGGCTTGCACCCTTGTTGCAATCGACCTTTGCTGCTATTACGCCCGATTCACTCACCTACTGGGAATCTTGTGTCAAGCATTGCGCTGTGAGTATTTGGGGATGAACATGCATGATGAATGTTTATAAATTAACCATGAGAGAATAGGTCAATTGGGATCCACGTCGATTGCATTATTTGAGACAAGTTGTATTTGGAGCTACGTTTGATCCCACTTCGGATGCCGCATTTGCCGAAGCAAGAAAGCTGTTGCTAGCACGTGCCATGATCAGTGAACTTGGATGGCGTGGAAACCCCTTGGTGGATGGATTGTTGGATACCTATTTTGGTCACTTGGCACATCCCTATAAGCAAGTACGAGAATGTCTTGGCAGCAACATCAATGAAATCCTCCAATTCCATTGGGCACCTTCTATGTTGAATGTAAAGGAGGCGATAGAAAGGAATCAACAAGCTGGCAACGGTGGCGTTGGCAATGTCCCAATGACGCTTGACAACAGGACGCAGACTCTTTTGGATACAGCAGTGGCACAATTGGATCAATGGCAAGCTGAGGATATTGAATCATACAAGCGCGCAAGCAAAACAAGTAAGTTTTTTTGTGAATCGACATCATGATGATGATGAATGATTGTAACCGATGCTTGTGATATAATAGTACTTTGTTGGTTGCATGATGCATTGAGACAATGGCGTGTTGAATGCGTATTACCCTATGTTGTCTCCTTGTGGAAACGTATCGTTGCTATGCAAGAACTCCATGACGACCCCGATTTGCAAGCAATGGCATCCAGTGTCTTGAACGCACTTGTCCAATTTGTGTATCCACCTGCCATGGTCGAGAAGCTCTTGGATGAATTTGTTACGGTGCTAACCCAATCGGAAAGCTGGAGGATTCGTACACGCACGTTGCCCATGTTGCAAGTATTTTTCTTTAGAAACTTGTTCAACATGAGCAGTGATCAAATTGTACGTGTGATGAGCGTCGTCGGTGGTTTGCTATTGAACGCCCAAATCGAGGCAAGTGTGATGATGATGATTCTTTTTTTGGAGTGGGGGTTATTGGTGTCATCATCATTATGCCGCAGTATTGCTGACAGGTTGTACATTTGCATCATCATCATCACAGGTACGACAAATGGCATCTATCACGTTGGGTGGTCTTGTGCGATGTTCACAACGCGATGCCATTGAAAGTGTGCAAGCACAATACTCTGCTCTTTTGCAAACCAAGGTTGCCAAGCGTCGACGTGATCCTGAGACTGGCAAATTGATTGAGGTGCCTGGATTTGATGAAGCTGTATTGAAGAAGCATGCTGGTGTATTGGGCTTATCATGCCTGGTGGGTGCATTTCCATACGAGGTGCCCAAATGGATGCCCAATGTGTTGTGTCAGCTGGCAAGCTGCATGTCCGATCCTGCCGAGATTCAGGTTTGTTATTGCTCGGCCCGCTTTTCTTTGTTTATTATCTCACATCCACTCCTTTGTGTATTATAGTCAACCGTCCGCAAGACCTTTTCTGATTTCAGACGTACCCATTCGGATACTTGGCACGAGGACATTACCAAATTCACTGAAGACCAACTCTCGATTCTCAATGACATGTTGATATCACCCTCTTACTATGCTTAGGTTCCCAATGTCGTCATCTTTTTTCCCCCAAACCTATTTTCGACCTGTACACGCAGCTTCCCGCCATTTTTGTCTTATTTGACGTTAGATTGTACAGTAAAATACATGCTTTGATGACAACACAATGTCGCCATAACAATTTCATTACATGGCTGTTATTTTGAGACACTCATTGTAGTATCATTACGTGCTTATAACAGGTTTTAAATGGCTGTAAGCGACTCAGCATTCTATTGACGACTGCATGACATTCTATATTTAATGGAGGATGACAGTGGCATGTGGCCACATGAAACGCAGCAAAAATGACATGCACATGCACCATCATCATCATTCTTTTTTCTCATTTTCCATCTATGATACCGGTTTTGCACAAGATGGCTGATAAGAAGAAGATGGGGTATATTTGTTTCATGTCCCTAGATTGAGGATGGCCATAACGCAATGGTTGTTTTCTTCATCGAGTTTTCCGTGCACATGGAATATGAATTACCATTGTCATGAAATCGGTCCGATGATACCGATCTGGATAAGGACGCGTTTTTGGGGGTGTTGGGGGGTGGG